AGCGGGCGCCGCGCGCCGCGCTCCCAGCCGCCCCGCCGTCAGCTGCTCCTATTTTCTGCTGTCGCTTTTGGCGCTCGGCCATCCAGAAACAAACCACTTCGATGACTCCTAATAGTTATCGCCAGATGTACTAATACACAACAAATCACGGTCCGGGAGAGGGGGAGAGCAAATGAGTTCCTATTTCGTGAATCCCACTTTCCCGGGGAGCCTGCCCGGGGGCCAGGACTCTTTCCTCGGGCAGATTCCCCTTTACCCGGCGGGCTATGATGCTCTCAGGCATTTTCCGGCTTCGTACGGGGCAAGCAGCCTGCAGGACAAGACTTACACCTCACCTTGTTTCTACCAACAGTCCAACACCGTCATTGCTTGCAATCGGGGTTCCTATGAGTACGGAGCCTCTTGTTTTTATTCGGACAAGGAAATCGGTAGCGCCTCTCCCTCCGGCAGTGGCAAACAGAGGGGGCCCGGGGACTACCTGCACTTTTCCCCCGATCAACAGTACAAATCCAGCGGCGTCCAAGCCAAAATTGTAAATGACGAAGGCACCGACCGGAAGTACACGAGCCCTGTTTACCCCTGGATGCAGCGGATGAACTCCTGCGCTGGTAAGGCATACACGAGCCCACCCCTGGATGCAGCGGATGAACTCCTGCGCTGGTAAGGCATTTCGATGCAATCAAGGGGAGGGGGGGAGGAAGGAAAAGTTTCTTGACCCAAGAAGAGTCCAGACTGCTGGAGAGACACGGTTCCTGCAGGGCAATGTGTAACACGAAACCTTCCCAGGTTATTTTAGACCTGGCACGTTGGCACCCTGGGAACGGTGGCCGAGAGCCCGGCTTGTGGGTTCACTGGTGAAAGTTACTGGGGAATCCTTAGGAAGCAGGCAAAAAAAAAAAAAGGAAAAAAAAAGGGGGGGGGGGAAGGAGCAGAGCGGTTTTACCACTCTCCTAAAGCCACCCCGAAGCCTCTGCTCCGCTTCTTCATTGTCAGAGAGCGATGCAGGGAATATGCCCTCTGTACTGAGGATCCAATGCATTTGTGGCACATTCCTCCTCGCCCCCCTCCCCCAGCTCATTAGCCTGTAAGTATTGGATATTGAGAGCACGTTTCTGGGGCCGTGGGCGCACTCCCATGGCATCGCGGATTTTCTCTGACTTGCAAGTGAACTTCACGTAACTGAACTATTCTGTCCAGGAGTCGTGCTGGGGGGGAGGGTTGTATTGGGGTGGCACTTATTTTTAATAATCCCATATTAAGACGTTTACTTCCAGTGTTTGCTAATGACTCCCCTCCTCTCCCCTCCTCCCGAGTTCATGTTTGCTGGACCGTGGGTCGCATTTCTTTTTTGGAAAGTTAAACTTTTAGCAAGACCATTCTGATGCTGCTTTGCATTCGAGGGCAATAAATTCCGGAGCAAATGGCAAAGGCTCTTCTATGATCTTTAGCTGATGTCTATAATTATACCCAAATTGCAGACCCTCCGTAGTCACAGCCATGGCAATGGAGTGTGTTTGTGTAAACACACCCGCATAGGCGTGCACACACACACGCACACACACATGCGTGCAGCTCCCCGGATCGCACGTGTGTGTGTGTGCGCGCGTGTGTGCGTGATACATGCGTGCAGCTCCCCGGATCGCACACGTGTGTGTGTGTGTGTGTGCGCGCGTGTGTGCGCGCACAGGCTCTCAACCCGCAGAGGGTAGACACTGCTCAGGGATTCACACGGGTGCTACCTACTTCACTTTCCCTAGGTCCGCCTTAAAGCCCCTTTGTATCCCCGTTACCCCACCACCGTCAGCACGCTGCACATCCGCATTTACAGCTGGTCAGGCAGGAGAAAAGGAAAAGAGGGACAAAAAAAAAAAAAAAAAAACCCCTCCAGGAAACCAGAGCAGCCCACCCCCACCCCTCCCGTGATTGTGCCTGCAAAAGGAGGCAGAATATACTAACCGCGCTTTCTGGTCTGAAATCACTGGGCCCTGTCCAATGCGATCGTTTTGTCTTTACTTCTACAGGTACAGTATATGGAACTCATGGGAGACGAGGGAGGCAAACTTACACCAGATACCAAACGCTAGAGTTAGAGAAGGAATTTCATTTTAACAGATACTTAACCCGAAGACGACGTATTGAGATTGCAAACGCTCTCTGCCTTACTGAACGCCAGATTAAAATATGGTTTCAAAACAGGCGGATGAAATGGAAAAAGGAAAACAAATTCATAAATTCCACACAGCCCAGCAGCGAAGAAACAGAGGAGAAGTCAGGGGAGTAGAACCACGTTTAATAAACGCTACCAGGCCTTTCCTTAGCGCTTACGATTACTATTATTATTTACCTTGTGTTCCTTCTGCTACTGAAAACCTATAGGTTTGTCACAGTCTATTAATTCCCAAAAGGCTTGGTTAAAAGCTGTACATTTGCAATCATCTGTGACTTTCTTTAATATATGTGGAAGTCCTAGCTTTCGAGCTACAGGCATGTATGTATATAATCACCTTTCCAAAGCGTAGATGGTGTTGCTTAAAGTGTTAGAGAAATGGCCCAGATTTTTAAATATTTGAGGTGAGCATCTGTGTGTGGGTGACTGTCCCTGGCGTGCCTGTGTGAGAAGAGATAAGCGAGTGATTTTTTTTTTTTTTAATTAGAAATGTTCATATTGTAGAAATACGAGAGATTTTAGAAAACCTTGGGTTTATGTTTTTGCTAACTCCCCCTATGTCGGGCCGTCTCGTTATGCTGTGTTTGGGAGTTTATGGTCTGCAGGGGAGAAAAAAAAGTTTTACGCATGTATAAGATATTTAAATAGCAAAAAGAAGAAAAATCCTTTTAAAAAATCGTTGTACAAAACCCTGGGTATAAACTTGCAGTTAAAGCGAAGATAAATTGCAGGGGGAATTTTTAAATGCCGCTAAACTGCCTAATCTGCACTACTAGTATTAAAGTAAAAACTCGGCGTTAAACTTCAGGGGAAGGGAGGGAAGAGGTTTTGAAGCAGGCGAATTTCTGTGGTTCCCGTTGAGCTTACACTGAGGTTTCGGCGAGTTCAGCTCTACACTGAAGGGGCTTTGAATTATGGACTACATTTCTTGGGGCTCCGTGGGCTTGGGTCGATCTTTCTTTCTTTTCTTTTTTTTTTCTTTTTTTTTTTCTTTATTAAAAGAAAAGCGTCTGTCGTATTAAATCGGGGATCTTCTTCCCCGCTTTTGTAGTATCTTAATTCACATTCGCATTTCTTAGCACTGGAAAAAATAAATAGGTACTCTAAAGAAAAGTAGCTGCCATAAAATGCTTCGACTTCGAGTTCTGTATAAGTAAAATAAGCGCAGCGAAAATATTGATTAATATATACGTTATATCTCTATATTATATTGTGTGTGCGTGAGTGTGCGTGTGAAGCTGTGTACAAATACACTTGTATACGCATCAAGGCTCTTTTGTTTGGAAGGCAGCGCATTTTTTTTTTTTTTTTTTTTTTTTTTTTTTTTTTTTTCACATTTTTTTTTTTCTTTTTTTAGAAAA